GAAGAAGAAGAAGAAGAAGAAGAAGAAGAAGAAGAAGAAGAAGAAGAAGAAGAAGAAGAAGAAGAAGAAGAAGAAGAAGAAGAAGAAGAAGAAGAAGAAGAAGAAGAAGAAGAAGAAGAAGAAGAAGAAGAAGAAGAAGAAGAAGAAGAAGAAGAAGAAGAAGAAGAAGAAGAAGAAGAAGAAGAAGAAGAAAGGTCTTCGTGACATTGGCGCAGGTCAGTTTCGTTGCTAGAGCATCGTAGTGTGGTTAGCTCCGCCCGTGTTCAAGCCAAACCAAAAGGAACCAACCAAGTCATTTGTCAGTCAGTCAAATTAAGTCATTCAACAGACCGTCATCATTGTTACGTCATTCGCCTCGTTGTACTCATTTTATTGGGAATTCAATTCTTCATTTCTAAACAGAAAAAAAGTGTTAGAAAATAAAATTTAAAATAAAAAATGGGTGTGTCTGTTACTGAGTAGGTGTGGGTGGAGGATGCAGTGCGTGTGTCGACTGACTGGGGTGAGAGTGTAAAATAATGTGTGCTACGAACAAGTAATACACACGTGCCGGCGTGTGGCGTCTGCAGCACTTTCCTTGTAAAGTCTAGACTTGCAGAAGAAGAGAGAGAGAGAGAGAGAGAGAGAGATTTGATGTATTCCAATTTCTCGTTTCTATGCATTGCATGTGTTTCCTGTAAGTGTTGCGCATATAATCGGTAAAACTAAACTATTTCATTTTTTTTAAGGGAATTTTTCTTGCAATCGATGTTGTTATTTTTGTGCAAACTTTCTTTTTTCAATTTTTTTCTCATAAAAAAAGTACTTCGATCATTATTTTGAGATCTAAGTCTGGTTCATTAGTTCTATGTCTCTTTCATACTTAGATTGGCATCATAATCCACATTTTTTTAGTATGTTGAAAGAAACTAGTTTCTGGTGGGTAAATTCCGCATATCACAAATTCTAGAAAGTGGAGAATCAATATATTTTTTAACTTCAGAACACACACACACACACACACACACACACACACACGTCTTTTTTGTACATATTCCAGTTATTTAGCTATTTTACCTAGGAGAATTTAAAATTCAGCTTGCGTCGTGCAGCAGAGAGATAAAAAAAAATGTATTACTTGGAAGAAGAACTGAACCCACGCAATATGCATCCTCTGTTTATTTATAGACATGCACAAGATACATGTGATGGGGGAGAGAAGAGAAGAGTATTTCATTTCTGGGTGACTTATTTCTTCGTATGTTTTTTTTATTTTTTTACTTTCTTAAGAAGAATCTTGCTCTTTCTTCATTTGTTTGTTCATCTGTCTGGGTTCATTCATTCATATTATACACCACAAAGAGGGAATAATAAATACAAGTACTACACAATTTAAATAAATTTATCTCTTTTAAACATTATCTATCTATCTATCTATCTATCTATCATCTCTCTATTTCTCTCTTGTTATCGAGTCAAATGTTTCGTATAAATTCATTGTGATTTCGAGAATGAATTGTTGACTTTTGATTTTTGAATATATGTTAATTATATGCAGAGTGAATTTGAGAGTTTGGTATCATGTAAAAGAACTTTTAGTTGTCAATTCGTCAGCAACGGCACTTTCTAAACCTGGCTAGCTAGACCTAAATTTTTTGTATGCATACAATAAATAAATCAAATTCAGTACAACATAACATAACTATACGGTCTTCCATAGGTATTTTCCGGGTTGTAGATGCATAGAGTGGATTTTGATTTTATCATTTAGACAAGTTAATTTTTGAAGAGAGACAGAAGGATGTTGACTTCTTTCAATTGATATCATATATTTCGTGTGTGTGACCTCCATACAATAACCATTTCGCACGGAAGTAGAAAAACTGTCTGGAAAGAAAGGTCTGTTTTCTTTTACATTTGATTTTTGTGCTAATAAATAGGTCATAAAATGCATATATTACGTGCGTGTCATTTTTTTAATATTTAGAAGTTTTATTTACAACAAACTCTGTTAATAAATTATTCAAATAATTTACAATTTTGACCATTCCATTTTCTGTTAAAGATTAAAACACATTAAAGAAAATATCGACGAAAATGGCATTTTTGTTTGATTTAATTTTTAAACATAAATTCTTAGAAAAAAAGCGTGAACGGTCAGCGTTTGTGTCGTGATAAAAAAAAGAGATAATTTCATTAAACTTTTTTTTTTTATTAACAACTGAATACGTTATTTTATTGGTAAAGTTTTTCTTTTCTTATTTTGAACTTTTATATACTTGTATAATTTCAGTTTATTTGTACTGTTCCTTTCTTGCAAAAAGATAATTTCAGGAAAAACTAAAAATAATAAAAAACTAAAAACAAAAAAAAAATAACGACCCCCCCCCCAAAAAAAAAACAAAGAGATAAGCAAACTCAAACAAAACCACAAACCAGAAAAGAAAACGATATTTTCAATTTTCTGGGTATTTATTCCCCAGCCATTGTTGCTGCCATTAATTTTTTCTGGGGCTTCTGGAATTTCAGTCGATATATTGCAGCTAAGACTGGTTGTTAAATCCAACAGCGTGGCTAGAAAGCGAGAGAAAAAGAAAAAAAAATCGGTCGATCCTCTTTTTAAGAATCATCATCATCATCATCATCATCATCATCAAAAAGTTAAAACAATTAGTATCGTTACTTCATCATCATCATCATTTCCTAATTAACATTATTATATCATGATATATTGTTTGTTATCGACATCTTTTGTTTTCATCACTAAAAAAGATAATCGTTTGCAACTTTGGTCAACCTCATCATCGTAATTGGCATTATGATTTATCACTACCATCACCATCCTCATCGTCGCACGATCGTATCCTCCTCTCTATCTTTATCATGATGATTGACTGACTGATTGATGCTGTTTTGATGCATGTCCCAAAAATATCGTCTGCTTTTACTGTGTAGTAATATAATAATTACGTTCACGTTACGGACAATATATTTGCAACACCTACACCTGTCTGTAACAGCACCTAATTAATTATCTGTGTCATCATCAATAATAGCATCATCATCACACCATCACGACTATCACGTCCATCATCTTCATCATCATCATCATCATCATCAGGAGGTCAGGGTTGGTATGATGCCTGTCTGTCAGTCCGTTCGTCTGTGGTCAGAGTGTCCTTCCTTCCTTTTTTTGAGTTTCCAGAGAGGCTCACCGCCTTGTTGTCTATTTCAACCTTGTAATATGTGCATTGCAAATGTTAAGCTCAAACCGAAACATTTATTGTTGTTGCTTCTTGTCTATTTCTCCCTCTATCATCACCCTTTCTTTCACTTTTCTCTCTTTTTGTGTCTGAGACACTCGCTGTCTCAGTTATGCAATAGTTACATACACGCATGTATGCATGCATACGGCTGGCACACTGCCTCGACAACATGTACCCAACCCTGGAACCCAACAGAGCAGCAGTAGGATTAATTTTTCTCACTTATTTTTACTTATCTTTTTAGTTTTTACACTACACACATTACTTACATACGTAGCATAACATGCAAAGATGCTATTGATGCCGCGATCACTAGGAACCTCAACCTACTTCTATTAAGAAATGTGTGTAACGTTTTTTTAATATGTAGTTTTCTTTATCCATTATGAACGCATTTTGGCTCTATATTTAATTTAAACAAAAAACTTTACATTATTCAAATATTCTCAACTCAAGTTAGTAAAGTTATGAATTTTAACCTCTTTCTTACACTGGTGGATTATTCCTTACCTCAAAGCTGTGTAGATCATCACTATATCACTATTTGAGAGAGAGAGAGAGAGAGAGAGAGAGAGAGAGAGAGAGACAGAGACAGACAGACAGAGGAGAGAAGGAGAGAAAGAGAGACTTCTGTTCACACTAATAATTTCCTTATTCTTTTTTTCTTTCTCATTTTCATAGATCGCCCGAAGCCCAGCTTGACATACTGGCATAAAAAACAAAAACAAACATCTGGACCATTCTGTCGAGTTGCTAGCAACTCTTCGTTCTCTTTACTTTATCCTTTTTTTAAGAACCCTATTTATCTCTTGTTTTTCTCTACGGTCCCTTTTCCCAATATTTTGTACCTTTCCTTCTTTCTCTCGCTCACTTACTGTCCTCATTTAATCTTTTTTTTGTACCCGTTTCTTTTCACCTCGTTTGCTTTCTTCATCTTTCCCTCCCACTCCAACAATTCTCTCATTTTATTTATTTTATCCCTAACACTTTCTCTTGTTATTAACTTGTTCTACTTTTTACAACTGACATACTGACCAGCTTGGCGGCTAGTGGTGCGTGTTTGTACGAAACACAGCAGAAGTGTGTACACACACACACACACACACACGCACATAATAACCCAGGAGTTGTGACACACACACACATACACAACACTACAGAAGACAAATCAAAATCTCATGCTCCTCACCCTTTTCAGACCCCAATTCTCTGACCTACAGGTCGCCCGTTAAACCAACCAAATGAACATATGCCTATTTTTATTTTTACACTCTTTGAAAACAAAATCCCTTTTTGACACTAAAATTAATATAAATCTACATACAATCTGGAATGTTATAAATGTGTAGCTCCTTAGATACACTGCTCGTGTGGTGTACCTCATGAGCGTATTATTGACACCAGGGTGGCTTCGGAATGGTTGATGGAGGCATGCAGCAGCAGTATGTAAGAATGGTCCCCTGACCACCACTCTTTACTTCCACCCGCTTCAAACTCTTTCATAAGCTATTTTCATTCATTAACAAATGAAAATTAAGAGAAGTGAATAATAATAATAAAAATAAAAAAAAAACGGGGTAGGGGGAAATGTTCGTATTGTTTCATTTTTAGCTTCTTTGATATCGACTTTTCTGGTGTGAGTGGGGTGAATGTGATTCTGTGTGGAGCAAGTGGACAAATAGAAGAGAAAGTTAGTTCCTGGAAAAAAAAAGAATGCGTATACTTCCGTGACAAAATATATTTTTATGAGAGAAATTAAAGAAATAAGAGAAAGAGACATAGATAAAAAAACAGAGGAGCAAGACAAAGTGTGAGTATGGGTGTGTATTGAAAGAGAAAGAAGAGTTTGTAAGTGGAAATACAAGTAATTGTGCGGAGAGAGACAAAGAAACTAAGAAAGGCTATTGTGGGGGGGGGGTAAAAGAAAATGTACTGTTTGAGGGATACTTTGGTACGTATGTTTGAGAGAGAGAGAGAGAGAGAGAGAGAGCAGGAAAACATGCGCAACTTATTTTTATTCTAAGAAAATGGGCGATATATTCATTGACCTGTCATTTTAGGTCTTCTGGTCTTAAATAAAATCGGGGTAATGTGTGTGGGTTACTTACAATACATACATGTCATTCACAAGCACATACGTAAAAAGTATGTGACCACAAAGAAGAAGAGTAAGACCAAGAGATAAATATGAAATCAGAATGATTATAGAAAGATTAGAAAAACACACGTCAGAACTAAAAGGATGTGATGAGGAAGATAAAAAAAATTGGTCGGATGATGAAGGCGGGCGATCGACCGGGGCATTGCTCGGATCTGGGTTACAATCCGAACACGAGGTTACGGAAAACACTAAGGTGGGCATGGGTAGGAGGAGAGAAACTGAATGAGGAGGAGCTATACAAAGTAACAGAGGGAGAAAAAGGAAAGCGAGAGAGGGTGAATAGGCTATTAGGAGGGTAGGAGGAGCATCAGACAAGGCCGACCTGAGGAGGAGACCTCGAAATAGCGGAGGCCGCTCCAACGCATTTACTAATGATTTCTCTCATTAGATTTCTTAATATTTAATATTTCTCTCTGTTTCAACGGCTTTCTGCCTTTCTCAGACACTTTTTTTTCCACCATTACCGCTAATTTCTATTATTGTTATCTCGAAAACCTAATGTTAACATTACTACTACTACTACAACTCAAACTGCAGTGTTATTGCTTTTATTACTACTGCTATTATTATTTCACCTTACCACATTGAATAAGTGTTTCTTATTCCTAGTCTCGATCAACCAAATGTAAACTTATATATATATATATATATATATATATATATATATATATATATATATATATATATATATATGCATGCTCGTATTTTCATACATTATGCGGAGCCGGAGAAGCCATGGTCAATAAGTAAAAAAGTAAATCTACTAATTAATAGCTAGGTTTTTAAATGTAATGTATGTACTCAACAATGTCATTTAAAAAAAAATCTACTTACAATTTTTTAACTTATTTTTATAAGTGTAAAAAATCAGAAACAAAAAAATGAAAAAATTTCTGAAGTCTTAGTTAAAATACGAGAAAAAATTATTTTCAGCGAGAAGACGCACAGTTTTTTAATGAAAGAAAAAGAAAAAAATTAACTGAAAAGAAAACAAATGAGAAAAATAATGATTATTGAATGAAAAAAAAAATATGTATATAAAAAAAAAAGAGAGATAGATAGAGAATATATAGCTGGATAAAGAAAAAGAAAGAATTAGTATTTTGGTCATTTTTTAATAGTCCAGTCTGGAGTGGAATCCGTCCGTCCGTCCTGTCCCCTTTTCTCCAGGAAACCATATTCCTCCAGTGTGATAATAATAATTATAACAACAATTGGGGTAAGTTATGCAATTCTTTTATTTTTCAGTTTCTATCACATCAATATTGTTTTTATTCGACAAACTCCTATTTTTTTTTGTTTCTTAAAACTCCCAATCTTCTTTAATTTATGATTAAAAAAAAAACAGTACCATTTCATTTATTTCTTCTTCGTGACTTACTCCTTCTTTTCTTGTTTTCTTTTTAAGTAATTTATTATTTATATGAAAAAAAAAATTAATTATGGTTTTCCCTCAGTCAATTTTATCGTTCAAATTTATTTAAATCTTTTAGAAATTTAAACTTAAAAATCATTTTTTTCTTTTTCCTTTCTTAGCGTTCCTGTTGATGGAAAAATTCTTTTACTTTTAAAATCTTCAAAAATTAATTTTAGAAAATGTTTTTAGTTTAGTTATTTCTAACAATATTCTTTTTTCTTAAATTAAGAAATTGATCTTGGCCTACTTTAATTTTTGTTTCATTTTCACCTTCAGAGAAATAATTCTTTTTTTTTTTTTTACCTTGTGTTCAAAATGACATTTTTTCTTTGTGAAAGAAAATAAGTAGTTTTTTTTTTTAATTTCGTAAGATCCTCTTGAATTGAAAATTGAAATTTCATTTTTAATAACTAGTTTTATATTCATGGTTTAATTTTAAAATTGTACACTTTATTTCAAATTTTCTAATTTCTATTTTTGCCAATTCGTCTGCTTATTCGTCTTCTTGACACTTTCTTATCCTGTCCCCCTCTTAATTTCCCTTACCTCTTACCCCCCCATCTTTTTACCTTTCACTTAACTCTCTTCCCCTCTCTGTCTACACTACCTATCTTTCCATCACCCTCTTTCCTCACCTATTCTTCTTCAATATTTAACCTGATTATTAAATAAATCAAGTGTTACCCCCGCTCCCCAAAGGACCAGAAAATTTTGAATGAGTGGACTGTGGACAGAAATAAATCGAAATGGTTCACGTTGTTATAGTTTATTTCTATGATTTTCCGGTCTTATGATTGTTGGGAAATCGATCATATTTAGGAAAAAAAAAAAGACTAAAAGAAAAACGAAGTTGTTTTTTTTTGTTTTTTTTTTTTTGTATATGATGATGTGAGTTTCTGGCCTGTTGTTGTGTAGAGACAACCGCGGATATTTGGGTCATGCCGTCTGTCTGTCTGGAAGGAGATAACAACTGGAGAGGGAGAAGGGAAAGAGTGAGAGGGATGAAGAGAGAAAGAGAGGGTTGCATCGCAAAATCAATAGGAAAAGTAAAGTAGCCATTTATTTCACCTGATGACGACCATGATGGCAATGATGATGATGTTAATGTCGACGAAGGTGATGATCATCACCATCTCATTAATCCCTCCTTACTAACTTCGTGGTTTTTATTTTTTCGCTGTTTTTGCTGTTTTTCTTCTTTCGCTTGAATTTGCTCCTTCACAGCCCTAGTAGAATAAGACAATTCCTTCACTCAACTGTATCCTCTTAAAACTCTTCGTTCGTGTATTGCCATTATCAGCCCCATCGCCAAAAAAGCAAACAAAAACTACACCATGGTACACTACAAACAAACATAACCTAGTTCATTCAAAAAAAAAAAAAAAAAAAAAAAAAAAAATGCTGTTCCTTTTCGAAAAATATTGCGATGTCGGTAACTAAATAATGTCGATAAATACAATTATTTTAAAAGAAGAAAAAGATATGCAAGTTATTGGTAGCAGATCCCGGAAAAATACCAGCTGTACTTCACTTTTTATGGCTCTTCTTAATTTTCCGAATTTAAGTATATAGACAGATGCATATTATTGTGCCTTAACACAAACAACTGATTCCTTATGAATCTCCACACACATACACAGGTATCCGTATTTCTTTGTATCGCAGGGTCACTAGGGCACATGATACCTTCCGCCAAGTTTGCCAAAACTGCCAACGAGTGTGAAAGATTTTTTTTAAAGAACCATCGAGTTTGCCAAAAGAAAGGGAAACGAATGATAGAACACGTACACTAACAGGGAAAATAAATAACTGAAAATAAAGATAACGATCTTAGAATTCTTCTCACTCGGTTTTTAAGTTAACTTTTAATGCTAGGAAAAGTTTTAAAAAAAAAGAATTAAAAAAATTATACATTTCTTTCCTTTTTTTCTTTAACCCCAATTCTCGGTGTCTGCTTTTAAAATGATTCATAACAAACAATACATTTTTCTGTCAGCATTATTATTGTTAGGGCGACGAACAAGGTCGACAATCAACACCGCCTAAACAGTAAAATCGATCACAAATTCTCGTGGAGTAGTTTGTAGCAGTAGTAATAGTAGTAGTAACCGTAGTAGTCGTAATAGTAATAATAAAACTACCACTATTTATTACTACTGCTAAAATTAGTTGTAAATTAGATGATACCAAGTTTGTTAAACTTTTACTTATGTAGGGTCTTTCTGAGGAGCTTTTATTTTTCCATTCACTCTCATAGTGTTTCTTTTTTAATTAGTAGGAAACTTAAATTAAAGTTGTCAAAATAACCAGGAAAGTTTTTTAAAAAAAGTAAAAAGTAGACAGAATAATAGTAGAAATGATTTTGACTTTTTAGGTCACACCTGCTGACCTGGCTAGGGCAGCATCCCACGCACACACACAGTGTACAGAGAAAAGTGGGGAGAGGCGAAGAAGTGGTCGATGTTATAGAAAAAAAAAAAGAGAAAGAGAAGCTATGTCGTCAGTGTTAGGATTAACCTGGTTGCCTTAATAAATCTTTGGGATTAACAAGAACAAGCACGAGAGAAAGTGAGCGCAACAAACTTCCGCCTGCATTGGCTTTTTTCTCAGCAGAGAAAGAGAGATAAGGAGAGAGGACTAGGGTTAGGGATAGGCATCACCAGAAAAGAAACGTGCACAAGACTGAAACAAAAAAGTAATACTGGTGATGATAAAATGATAATCACGAACGATTGACAAAAAATTAGCAGAGGAAAAAACAAAAACGATAACATTGCTTACGTACTTAGACACATATCTCGATCTCTCTGGTAGAGACATTTTCTTCAACATAAACTGCTTGGGGGTGAATGACAAACTCTTTCTCCAAGAGAGAAAGAAAAAAACTTGTTTGCATTTTTGTTGTTTTAATTAATTACATTTGAAATACCGTGCCTGTTATATCTTTGTTTCTGATGAAAGCAATAGTGTTGGTACTTGGCAAAGGTTTTTAAAAATAAATGGATTTTGATTTTACTTTTTAAGTTTGGAGTAAAAAAAATACATTTTATTTTGTAAATAAAGCAGAGTATGGAATTTAAATTTAATTGAGAAAATATTTTAACTTCTTCCTAACAAAAGACAAAATTCTTTGAAACTCAAAACTTTTACTTTTCTTTGATAATCTCTTTTTTTTTTTTTTTGGAAATTCTATTTTTTAATGAATTATGCTTCAATATTTTTACAACTGGATTCAATTTTCAAGTGGAAATGCTATATTGGTTCATCGATACTGCACACTTGTGCCACTCAACCCATAAAATAATAATAAAAAAAATATCTTTGTTCAACCGTAACGTTTATTACAACTTTTAGACCTTAAAGGTGGTAGGTGAAGTGAGTAGTTTGTATAAGACTAAGAGAATCAGTGCTGCTGTTGAATAAAATGACATAATTTGACATTGACATATTAAATTGAAATCTCATTGTTGCTTTTTAATCAGTTTTTTAAACTTTAAAGTCATTGATAAGAGAGTTGATGGATACCTAACTAGATTTATTGTGCTTAAAACTGCTCTTGGTTTGAGAAACTTCCGTCTTAAAAATTTAAAACAAAAAATTGTACATCAAATTCTAAACATTAATTTGATAATTGTAAAAGTAAAATCCTTGGTGAGTCACATCGCAAAGTTAAATTAACTGAATTAAGTAGGTAAATACTCAATTATACCTTTTTAGTTCTTAGAATTCGTTTTTTCCTTGTAATTCAAAAAACACTTAAAAATTTAGAAATGCTTTTTTATTTTTTTCATCATCAAACTTTAAAGAGCCTATTTAAGTGGCAGCTACAAAATGACATTGACAATTTTTTTGATGATCTACCTACATACATTAATGTTAATTATAAATACAACGACTAATTAGGAATATTTGTAATTAATAAACTTTTTTTGATTTTTTTTATACACAACTTATTCTTACATTTTTTGGGGGGGGGATTTATAGTGCGCATCTTTTTTTATGTGCTGCTTAGCAGGTGGCTTATTTTTTAGGACATTTAAAAATCCATAAACAAAAGAAGTATTTGGAAAAAAAGTATCTTTTTTTTTGTTTGTTTTATAGCGTTTCTTGTTTCCAAGAGATAATTCATGTCTGGTCTTCAAATGAGTAAAAAACGAATTCTTTTTTTTTTTTTTTTTACACTGAAGTGTAAAAACATAAGTGATGTCTTATCTTTTATAAGACATCACTTATGTTTTTAAGTATTGCTTACTTTCAAATAAGCAATACATTAAAAAAAAAAATACTAACTAAATTACTACTAAAAAATTACTTTTTGATCTTTACCTATGTTGCTAAAAAAATTGTCTGAGTAAGGTACTGCTGCTTTTTTGTTGATGGTTGACCATGTCCCAGAGTAGTTAAAGGACTGAATGAATGATAAATAAAAATAATCTTATGGCCATAACAAAATTAACAAGACTAGACTGTCTTTTCAACAAGATTGATAACTTTTACATTTTTGTCTTCAATCATTATTGAACAAAAAAAAAACTTGTATAATTTTAAAACTTAGTTAATAAATGACTGGTTACTGATTTTTGCTTTAAAACGTAAACCTAATTACAAACCCTTTCTTTGTTATTCATTCCTTTAAGACTTTAGTAAGTTGGTACGGTCTGTATATTTGCTTTGCTTCTGTTTGAGTCGTTTAC